GGGGAAACCGAGCCGGGGTGTCCCTGTGTCCCTGGAACAGGCTGGCACGGGGGCTGAATGCTGGTGTGATTCACTTTGTTTTTTTAATTCACAAGTAAAGGGGAGATGGCCCAGAAGCAGCAGGAAGGTGTGCGTGGCAGAGGCACGGAGGCTCCAGCAGGCTCCTTAAAGCAGACTCAGCTGCAGCGACAGGCTGTGGCACAAGCAGCCAGCCCACACTCCTCCTGCGGGCACAACAAGGAGGAAGGAGCTGGCGGATCCCCAGAACGGTGCCCTCACGGGGCACGGCTCGTCCCCAGTCACTCCCCTTCGGACACACGGCAGTGTCTGCGCCAGCTGGACTTCAGCTCCTGCCCCAGAGCTCTGCTTCTGGAAAGCCAGTCACCTCTCCCACCTCACAGAAGGGCTGCAGGCCCTGCGTGTACACCAGTCTGTACCTCAGGCGGATGGGATCCTGCAAGAGAAGGGAAAGAGAGGGGCACACCATGATTATAAACTCCCAGACTCCTTCAACCCTCATGGCCTTGCTGCAGTCAGCCACCTCTGAAAGGGGAAACACCAGCCTTGCAGAAGCTCTGCACAGGAGGAAACCCTGGATAGGTTAACCTAAGGATATACTTATCCTAACCTAATACAGAGAAGAGCAACTCGAAGAGCAACATAACTGTGCATTCCAGCCATGGGCATGTTGGCAATCCAGGCCTGGGCAGCCTACTCAGAGTTCCTTACACTGATCTTGGGTCTCATAACTATCCACCAGTGCAAAAGATCTGCCACCCATCACTTGTGCCTTGGGTGTCCCTGTGTTCCATCCACTGCACCATGAGTGCCTGCAGCTGTGTCTGTGTGCAGGTCCTCCAGAATTGCACAGGCCCCTGCACAACTGCCCACACAGTCCTTCAGACTGTAGCTCTGACAGCTCTTTGAGCAGAAAATCATCTTCCCAGCACAGTCCAGACTGCCCTGTCTCTCCACTACACCTCCCTGTTATTAGGGGTCTCCCCATTTTTCACACAAACAGCCAGGGAGTTCCCAGTGCCCACCAGCAGCACCTTGTGTGGGTTGGAGAGCAGCAGCACCTGGGACAGCACTGCAGGTGGGAGGAGAGGGCTGAAGGCTGGCAGCTCAGAACCAGAGGCTGGTTGTAGCTTAATTTGCATGGTCTGAAAGAGAAAACAAAATAAACACTTGTTAATCCATGCTGGGAAAGGGCTGTGAGCCTCAGTGAGCCATGGAGCTGGTTAAAGGTACATCAGCCAGACTCTTCATTCAGTGAGAAGCACAGCCTGCCACTAAAGGCAGATATTCCTAAACAGCCAGTTCTATCCATGGACACACACAGTGAAACAGGCACCACTGTGCAACAGGATCTCTGTGCAGAGACAGGGAGCCACACAGTTTCCCATGAGCAAGGCAAACATTCAGTAAGAAATGGTGACCCTTCTTCTCAGGACATTTCTGAGCATCTCTGCTATTTGTCACAGGTTTCTCACCTTTGGGACTGCAGCCTGGAACACTATGTCCTTAATGGGGTGTGCTGAGGTGCTGAGCATGGACAGAACCATCACCAGCACACCTGGTCGGCCGGGAGCTGGGTCTCTGGAGAAGTGGAGCATGACCTTGAAACCATTCCTGTCATACACAGTGAGTGGAGAGATGGTGCCTGCCAGAGACAAATCGAGAACCAGAATCAAGGCCTGGCTTCCTCTGCCATCTGAGGGCAATCAGGAAAGATGGGATAAGGAATAGCAAAAAGGAAAATGCAGACAAACTTTTGCTTCCTTTGGCAAACTCACAGACCAAGTGGCACACAGCCCCTGATTTACATCTGCCTCCAAGGCAGAGACAGCAATCTGGATGTCTGCCTCTGGGATTTAGCAGCTCAGGTTCCACCAGTCCTTGAGAGAAGTCAGGTGTGGATCCAACAGAGATGTGGTGGGAAAAGCAAAGTGCCTTTCTGGGCACACACAGGATTTGGCTCCTTACCATCCATGCCTGGCTAATTCACACCTGACTGTCACCATCCTGCCCTTCCAAAATCTGCTAAGAGCTTCACTTGAGGCTGAAGGCAGATCAGGGTGTCTGTGCACCTCAGCAGCAGTGAGAGCCAAGGCTCTGTGGCCCCAGGCTGAGACCCCAGGGTGACATTCCCAGGAAATGCTCGGGATCGAGCTGCAGAGCTGGGCCATACAGTGTGAAACCAAAAAGCAAAGGTGGAATGAAGAGCTTCCTCCTTTAGGAAGTGGGGCAACTCCCACTCAAAAGTGTTTTTTAGGACTTTTAGTGGAACAACTGCTTGAAGCTTGACTGAAGGTGTGAAGGACAGGGTTTAGAAGCACATCACAAAGATCAGGCAGGGCAGAAAACTCCTGAGCAATGAGTAGGGAGGACAAGGACATTCTCATGCTCTGATCCCTAGCACCTGCTCAAATTCTCAGGTACATTAAGCCCATCACAGAACAGTCATTACTTGTGCCAGTGACCCACACAGCATGAAGCTACTTTGGCTTCCTGTCCTGCAAAACTCATGGAAGAGCTCTAGTAAGCAGAGCTGGGGCACAGAACTGTACTTACTTGGTGTAACTGAAGTTAAAGGCACAAAAAGGTTTTCTAGAGAAGCATCATTGGAAGCTGGGTGCAAAGAGGCAGCAGGCTTCAGATCATAGCCTGGACTGAGGAGGGGAGGATCTGCCACTGAGTTATTTGGAAGATCTGGAAAGGGCAATTTCATTGGTGATAAATCCCTGCAAAGAAAGGCATGCAGAAAGCTTGTATTAAGCAGGGATACTACAGGGAATGTACTGTCTTCTGCTGTGTCTGTCTCTATTCCCAATCCCTCATACCCTTTAGGTATAAAGAAACTACAGACTTACACTCTGAGCCCTTGAGGAATTCAAGAACTCTATCATCTGTGGAAGATCTTGCTGTTTCAAAATTCATTAAGGCAGATTTTGGTTCTGTTACTATGGTAAAACTTAGGTTTAGGGCTTTGGAAGTCTGCCATCCCTGAGCACAGCTTCCCTGGAGCCCTAGTCAGGCAGATCAAAGTAAATTCCTGCTCAAAGACATCACGGGAAGCTGAAAATCTTCAGTAAAGTTTCTTGTAATATGGCAGACTGTATAAGCATACTGTAATAGTCTCCTGCTCTGAAGATCTGTGGAGATTAATTGGATTTGTGAACTGTTCCAAGCTTTCACTGAATGTCTGGAAACTCCCTTGCCACAGACTGGAGAAAGCTGAGGAAAGGGCTTTTTGAGTGACAGGTTTTTATAAAAAGGCCTGACCATAAGGTTTTTGTTCTTTTAGCTGAACATCGCCTTGTTATTAACCAATAGGATTTGTCTCCCCAAATTTCTAACCCTTGGAAGGTCCAAGGTGTGCAATTAACTACAATTAACCAGTGCAGAACTGCGGGAAAGGGCCAATATGTGCATGGATCACCTGCCATCACTAACCAGAGGTAGCTGAAAGGTTCTCCTAAACCTCCCTGCTGTAAAAGAATTCCTCAGCCCCCAGATCTGACTCTGTTATCAAGAGTTTACTTACAAAGAGAATGTCTTGGTCCTGGGTGGTGGAGAGAGCTGTTCATCCAGGCTCTGGAACTCACTCTTCCCTGCACAGCTGTCCTCCCAGCCCTGCTGTGGTGCCAGGCTTTGAACAGCACTTACACCTTCCCTAAAGCCATTGTGTACAGCAGGCTGGAAAACAAGGCTCTTCAGGTTCATGCTGTATAGTATCAGCAACAATAAACCTGTTGCACTAAAAAGAGCTCTGTTTATCACACACCACTACCTAAAGCAGAAATACACAAGAGTCATTCGGTTGCAAACTGCACCTGAGAGCACAAGGATTGCGGTTTCCCTTCAGAACAGAGTGCTACACCAGAAGGGCTGCCAGAGAAAGGCAGAGCAGGAATCATCTCTGATTTTTGTCCTTTATACCTTATGGACAGCAGAGTATCTGAGCATCACTCACCTCTGCCAGGCCAAAATCAGGGGGTGGTTCCTGTGTGACAGGGGAATTGCTGAGACCTAAGAAAGACACCAAAATACCACAGATAATGTACAGAAAACAGGGCTTTCCACAGGTGCTTCCTTTGCTGTCTGACACCGCTGGAGACACTGCATCCCTGCAAACCTTCATCTGGAAGGCCCCACCTTCCCTTGGGACTGATGCTGAAGCCAAAGTTCCCCTCCCTTGACTGAAGACCCCAAACCCCAGTAAGGAGGGGGCACTGAGGTGCACGTACAGACCTAAGGAGTGCAGCTGCTCCTCGAGCAGGCAGCTGGAGGCGGTGCTGCCGTGCCGGGGGGCTGAGGCTGTGTCTGCAGAGGGCTCTGGGGGGCTCTGGGCCGTGGCCTCCAGCTCGGAGAAGTCGATCAGGGTGTAGCTCCTCGTGCGCCGCGGGGCTGCTCGGCACGCTGGGGAACAGACACGGTTAGCTGGAGCCTGGGGAGGGCTGGCACAACCACGGCTGCAGCTGTGCCTCAAAGGCGAGGAGCCTGGGGAGTATCTCCTGTCAATTATATGCAAGAGAAAATGATGGTGACATAATATTTTTTGTGTGTTACAGCACTTTCTCCAGGTTCGTTCTCTGAGCAGCATTTCCCTGCCAAACCCCGCTCCCAGCTGGCATGCAGGGCAGAGCTGCTGGGGGGGCTCCTCACCTGGTGCACGGGCAGAGCTGGCAGCTGAACCTGCTCCATCCCCATCCTCCTGGCTGGCCACAGCCTGCCTGTACTGCCCCAGCGCCCAGGAGAGCTGGTCATTGGCCTGCAGGACCTCAGCTGGGAAACCAGAGCACACACAAAACACTCATCTTCCAGGGGAAGGTCAGACAGTTGCACAGCACCCCCCCAAAATGCTCCTGAGGAAGGGACAGTGCAGCTCAGGAGCAAGGCCCAGCAGAGCAGGCTGCCCTCAGCTCCTCACTCACTTTTCATTCCATTTTGCACACACAGCTGCTGATTCCAGGCCTCTCTCTCATTTATCAAGATCCCTTTGAAATCTTATCCCATCTCTAAAGTGTTCCTAATTCCTGCCATCTCTTCTGCACTTTCTTTTCAGTTCTCTGAACATCAGAACTCAAAAAAACTCAGAAAACCACCTCATCTGAAGAAACAGATTCAGTGTTTAACTTTGGGCTCCAAGTGAAAATTAACAGCTTCCTCAGAGACGAGCAGGAGGAGACCAAATGCCACTTCCCTGGGCATGGTTTCATGGTGAGAGTGGGGAGCTTTGCCCACAGGGTGCCAAGCAGCCAGCACTCCCCTCCCAGGGCAGGGCACAGCCCCGTGCCAGTGCCAAGGGGCACAAGGACAGTGCTGGCTCTTACCCAGAGCCTCCTCGTCAGGCACGGCCTCGCTGGCCAGGCGGAAGAGCAGCGGCCGGAGCCTCTCACAGCGCTGGAACAGAGCCTGGGGGAACACGGCACTGCTGAGCTCCCCAACACCCACACCTCTGTCCGGGCCACCCCTGCAAGGGAGGGGAAAGAGCACTCACCTGCAGGCTCTCCTGGTCACCTGGGGATAATTCACCTCTCCTGTAGCTCTCCAGGAACTCATCCATACGCCTGACGTTCTCAGAAACCTCACGGATGGTGTTCACTCTGCGGGACACCTGAGCTGACTTTTCTTGTTCCTATGACGAAAAATGAAATATTACTGTGACTTGGCTGGAGCACTCAGGGTCACACCTATTAATATTTTATTGCAGGTAGAGAAGGCACAAAGCAGCACAGGTGAGAACAAGCCCCCAGCTGCCCCATCAAGGCACCCTGGCCGTGTGCTGTGGAATATGGAATACGTCTCACCACAGGCACGAGTGTGACTTCAGAATTTGAGCTGGGAGTTGGTGGCTTCTGCCACACAGAACAACCAAGGGCTTTGTTAAACCAGATCTCCTGCGTGGGCAGAGAAGTGGGATGCTCCTTCAGATGGAACATGTAAACAGGCCAGACATGCACACACACTGCATGCAGGAAAGAGGCAGTTCTGTACAGAAGTGACTTCTTTCCATCTGGGAACTGAGTTTATTTTTGGAAATTTCCAGCCACTTCTGCAGTACTACTGCCAAGGTCCCACTGACACAGAAGTGTCCTGCTCTATGCACATTCACAAATTCCCTCTCTGGCAAGGGCACATTTTAGGGAAACAAAACAAAATGACCCCAGCTGTAATCTCAGAACAGTTTAGAGACTGAGCACGGTGCCCTCTCTGGGGCTGCGTGCAGAGGGTCCCCTGTGACATGGAAAGGCTCCCCACCCTCCCCGGGGCAGAGGGGCCCTGGGGCAGCCCCCACCTCCTTGACGGCGCTCTGGATCAGGCGGTTGGCTGCCTGCAGGTCCGCGGG